TTGGCCACTGTCACTTCTTCACGAATTATTATTCAGTCATCCTTGTTCACTGTGTTCCAAAATGGGTTATTCTACTGAAGAAAGAATAGAAATTGTTGCAACCTATTATCGAAATGATGAATGTACTAAAGCTGCCGCAAAAATATATAATACGAATCATCTAGACCACAACATAAGCCACCAATACGTTAAACAGTTGGCGAGTTGGCTGTCCTTGTTCCAACTGTGTTCCAACATGGTTTATTCTACTGAAGAAAGAATAGAAACTGTTGCAACCTATTATCGAAATAATGAATGTGCTAAGCTGCAAGAATTCATAATACGAATCATCCAGACCACAACGTGAGCCACCAATACGTTGAACAGTTAATGGATGAGTTTTGAACTTCAGGTTCTGTTCACAACAGAAAACATGAAGTATCCCGTCCTGTCAGAAACGACGGAGTTGAAGTTGCAGTTTTAGGACATATACAAATGGATAATCGACAATCTATCAGACAAGTAGCTAGAGCGTCTGGTGTATCAGCTACTAGTGTTTTTCGGATTTTGAAAGCCTACAAATTCCACCCAAAATAAGGCTACTTCAGAAATTAAACGAAGATGATCCTGATCGTCGACTTCAGTTTGTAAGGTGTTCAGCGAGAAATTGACCAATAACCCAAACCTATTATACAATACATGTTTTTCAGATGAAAGTTCTTTCATGTTGAATGGTAAATTGAATAGATATTATTGTCGTTACTGGAGCGATGTGAATCCTCATTTGGTGATGGAAACACATTCACAAACTCTAAAAAAATTGAATGTCTAGCCGGCATTCTTGGTAATCATATTGTTGGATCATTCTTCATTAAAGGTAATCACAATGGAAACACATACTTAAATCTTTTACAAGACTGTGTAGATCCTATACTCACACAAATTTTAGAAAATGATGACAATTTAGTAGAAGCACCCCCACATTTTGATGTTCGGGTAAGACAGTTTTTGGACAAACGTTTTCCAAACCGTTGGATCGGCAGAAGGGGTCCAGTGGAGTGGAGTGGCCAGCTAGATCATCTGATCTCACACCGATGGACTTCTTTCTGTGGGGACACCTGAAGTCGAGAGTGTACTCTACTAAGCCTACAAATCTAGAAGACCTGCGGCAGAGAATTGTTCGGGAACACTGATTGCTGATTCCAGACATCTTGAATAATTTACGGAATGCTTTCGAGAGTAGACTGTATTATTGTATGGTACTAGGTGGAGATCATTTCGAACAATGTATCCATTGATTTTGTTTCCACTGATATTATTTGTTGTTGAATTCCTCATTAAAATGAACGACAGCGAATTTTCTGTTTTTTTTTGAATGAAACGTTCAACATTTAATTTCTCAATAACAAATGGACCAATTTCGAAAAAAATGAGAGGTAATAGAGGGACAAAGGACCTTTCATATGATGTATCACTCGACCCCCCCATGCCATTGAAAAAAATAGGGAATGTAGTTGCTAACCAAGGGGGGGGTGTATTATCGGGTATGATTTTCATA